CAAAAAAAAAAAAAAAAAAAAAAAAAAAGCAATGTGAATGAAAAAAAGCTAAAGAACCTGATTCAATATTTGCAAGATTTAGAAGTAAATTACTGAAAATCTTATGTTTTTTATATGATTTTCTTTATCTCATACAAATTGAGAGGGGTACAATTGTCATTTCCAATCTCACCCCTCGACTCTTGCCGGAATAACAAATTTCACAATATTAAACAAATTTTGAACTCGTGTTAGTGCTGGTACGATCGCACCTAATATGGAATAACACGAATTTTATTTAAGAAACGTGGGAGCGGTATGATCCGATGCATACAAATGCTCGGAACAGTTAATGGGGTCACCTGAACACGTCGGAGAGAAGAAATATAATGAACACGAACACACGAGTGGAGCGGGTGGCAAGATAATCTTTAAAAGTATGAAATTAAATATTAAATTAGTTTGGAATAATTTAAATTAAAAAATGAAAGCTATTTTTTACCTTGCTGATGAAGGGCAGAATGTGATGGTGTAATCTGCACCACTGCAAGTAAAAGTGCTTGACGCGTCATCAAAGGCGTAGCTATACGATTTGGGACAAGCCGATTTAAACATTTCCGAGTACAACGACGGTTTACAGGCGGCGGGTGAGTTATACGCGCCGCTACAACAGTACTCCGGATTCCCAAACGCCTCACATGCGCTCCTGCACGCTTTCCCCTCGCCACCACGTAGCTCAGCAGGGCACCGTCGGTTCAGGTCTGCCGCACACCCAGTCGACTGACAAGCGCCGCTCCCGCCAGTGGAGTCCACCATCATCGGAATGTTGTAGCCGTCGACCAAACTGACATCGTAAAAGTCCATCGCGCCACCACCGGAACCAATCGTGAACTCAGCTAGAGTCGCGGGTGGGGTGGCTCCGTTGCCATTACATTCCATTTGGTTTGACCCACAGTCGGCTGTCTGGCAGCTGCCTTGACCGGTGGCGGAGTCGAACGAACAGCCTGTCCGACCCCAGAATCTGCCGGACCAACCCGGCGGCGGTTGGAATGCACGCGTCGCCCCAGGGGAGAGCTCGAAGCCAGTGGATTCCAATTGGGTGTTTCCGAGAATTCCCGGCCAAATTGTGTAATCGCATCTATTTATTAATGTAATTCCACCTCCATAGACGCCTTTAAAGAAGACGATCAAAAGCAGAGAGAGAAACAAAAATGGAGGAGAGAGAAAATGGGTTCGAAGAAATCCCATTGAAGAAGATGAAGAATAACAATTACATCTCTCTCCTCTGTTTAATCGGGACTTTCTCTCTCTTGGTGTGTGTATATATATAATGGATTGAAAGTGGACAATGGGAGAGAGATTAGAATTGACTTTACAAGTCAAAACAAGAAACTTACCCGTACAATTCTAGTGTAATTTTATAGATAAGACACTAATTATCATTTTATAGATAAGACACTAATTATCATTTTTGTTCAGATACTAAAAGGGTTGAAAGTGGTTAAATTCGAAATTTTGTTGGGACCCTTTTATCGAATCTACTGCCTTAAGATGATAGATGATCAATTATCGTTGCGTTGCAAAAGACGGCGATGAATCAAATTTGATGATATACCCTGACGATATTACCTACAAAACGTTGCACTCCGCTCGAATGTGATAGAGACCCTACCGAAAAACTTGACACGGTGTCACGTTTAAAGAAACATATCACAAAGAAAAAAAAGAAAGAGAGGTGGAGATTTATGATAATGAAGATAAGTAAGATTTGTTTCAAGTTGTAAAGGTAGAGGAGAGTGGACTTTGCTTTATGAAATGAGGCACAAAAAAATTATTTTAAAAAATTTAATTAAATAAAGATATAAATATTGTGATGGGTGATCTCTCCACGTCCCCATCTACGAGTTCTCATCCGTCGTTTACATGCATTATCACACTTAAGGATCCTGTACGAGTTCAAGTTGACCACTAGTAGATATCATCTACTTTAGTTCGTTTTATATTGTCGTTAACCTCACAATTTTATGGAGAGATTTTGTAAGATCTCATATCGGTTGGAGAGTGGAATACAACACTCTTATAATGGTCTAGAAATCTCTCGTCATATGAGTTTTAAAATCTTGAGAGGAAGCTCGAAAGGAAAAGTCAAATAGGACAATGTCTAGAAATCTCCCAACAAAACACTTAGGTTGTTGCACGTTTTTACACCCTTACATTGTTATGTATGGCAAAACATTGAAATTTTACAAAAATTATAAAGCTTCGAATCATGTCAGAATACGCACGAATGCTTCTTTTTTTTTTTTTTTAGAAGATATTTTGTTCGTAAAAGTTAAGAGAAATGATATATGACGGTCTGAAACCATGCATTTTATGAAAAGAAAAAACTTTATATTAAAAACAAAGTGAGATAAATTAAAGTGACGACAATAATATGTCACAAAGTAGATATTACATAAATATATACATTAATATGATATAAATGTGGGAGCATTGGGTTAATATAAAGTTAGGAGCCATTATGAAAGGGGGAATATATTAAGTAAAATGACGTGGGAATTAATTTTAAAATATATATTTTCTGGAAAAAATTGTAAAAAAAAGAAAAGAAAAGAAGAAAAAGGGTGGATGTGTTGTAAGAGATAAGGGTTTGTAAAGGCAAAAAAATGACATCCCAAGTACTTATCAAAACCAAGTGATTTGAATTTTGCTTTGACCCTTTTTAAAAATAAATATTTATTTATTTTTAGCCAATTAAGGAAAAAAGAGAAAATAAGGACGTGCCTTCCTAAAATCTACTTTTTTCTATTTTTATTATTTTTTTAATTAAAAATTAAATTATGTGAAATTTAATTATCCATTTATTTCTGGTTTGCTGATGAGAGGTTTCCTTCCCACCAAATAGTGAACACGCACTAGCGTTCGTGGTGGTGCTTTAAGGTTCCAATATACTGCATCGAAGATCATAACAAGTTTACTGACGGACCATTGTTGTCTCATTCTTGAGTGAGCTGGAGCACAGCTATCTTATCCACTAGACTAATTAAAAGCTATTGTTTAAAAATTCAAATTTTAATAATACAATATAGTTTTTGACAATTAAAACAAATATTACTATTACAGTCTCAAAATTAGTTAACTAATTTATTTTTTTAATATGGCCAAAAAACATGTGTGTTGAAGATAAATTTAGAGGACAAGGAGTATAATAACCGAAAATCTTCTCTCAATTCGGTGCGGGTATTTATGTCACGTCATATTAATTTTTAATTTTATAGAACATAAATAAAAAAATATTGTATCGTTACAGAGATTTATAAAACCCGACTTAAAAATAAATAATATTATATGATTATGGAGATATAATATTATAAAATTAATATGTTGGAAAATGGAAATGTTATGACGAGAATCTTTAATTTTGGATAGCAAAACACGAGAGGATGACTTGCAAAGATGGAATTCCTACGTAAACTACTTTTTTTTTCTCCCCATCTCTCGACATCTCCTATTGCATTCCACGTGGCATTTTTTTTTTCCTTTTTATATTTATTTTTTGTATTTATATATAAAATTTAAAGTAGCACTAAAAAAATATTTAGTTGGAAAATAATTCCTAAAATATTTTATCCGTGGATAGAAAGATGACTTGGCAGTTAATTTGCTGACAGTGCAAGTTGATTGGGAAATAATATATCAATTTTTTTTTATTATTATTATTTTGGTGACTAGGATTCTTTTTCGCTATCCACATCAACAAAACATTCACGTGGATTTTGCTAAAATTTTTAGGTTCTTCATCCTTGATTAGATTTGGGCTGATGAACAACTTTACCCTAATTCGAGGCAATGAACATTTCTCGTTAAGAACCATCTAGATTTAGATGAAAATGAACGTTTTTCCCTGTCCTTGATTGCTCGTTCCAGTAAGTAGTTCCTTATTTAGATCTATGAACGACTTAAAAGTTCTCCTTTTTAAGTACCACATATACACTAGCTTTCGTAACTTAAAACGTGAAAAGATATGATTAAGAAAAGATCGATTGTAAATAGATGTACAAATAACTTTATAGGATATTATTTTGCCTTTTTTCTTTTTCTTTATGGAAGATTTTGTAAATCCATTTCTTCCATGTTTCAATCGTGGCCGTCCATTTTGTTCTTGCTATTATTGGAAAAATAAATAAAATGTATTTAGTGACTTATTTTAATTTCAAATATTGCTCGGTGAATCCTCGAGATTTATTGTCTTTTGAGATGACAAATCCTAGGTTAGAAGAGACAATCTAAGTCAAGGTGTATTAGTTAGGTAATAGAGCCACGTTTCGATGCTGGAACTAGTGGATTCTAGACCCACCATGCTTCTTCTACTTAGAGGCTTTGTTCCAAATTTATTTACTTTAAGGGTATTTTGGTCATATTGGAATTTAACGAACGTATTTCATCCGTTCATAAGAATAAGTAACAAATATTATGAAAATTTAACAAAGTGTGTTTTAAACGTTTTTTCATATTTGGAAAGTAAATAAGTTCAAATAATATAGTCCGACAACGTCACTCTAACGAAAAGGGCTTTTCGTTTAAACAATTCTCTAAATGGCTTAGATGGCCCGAGGAGGTTACTTCGATTGGTTTGGTTTGAGTTGGTCCACGAACCTTAAAGCCCAATCATTGATCCATTTTAATTACAAAAAAAAATTTAAAAAAATTTAAAAAAATAGAAAAGGAAAAGGAAAAGAGTGAGGAATAAGAAAAAAAAAAATAAATTTAAAGTCAAAAAGTGACACATAAGACGGACAAAAGCATATAATAAAAGGCAATATAAATTATAACATATGGTATAAAATATTTTTATGTGAATTATTTATTACCCCCACACTTTATAACCTTATCTTAATTATGTGTAAGTGAATCCCCAACGCCCCTTTCCTCACATTCTCTTTTCTTTATCGATCCACCCCAAAATAAATTAATATTTCAAAATCGTGCCCTAAACTTTACCTAAATTTAATATTTTCCCCATTTGGCCCGCTGGCCCCTTCCCCCCTCTTTTTCCCCGTTCATCCTCGTCACGCTAGTCACATTTTCGTCACCCTTGGGTGGAGTCGGGTGGGCTTTTAACATCAATGGATCAATTCTTCGTGGGTCCTAGTATGGGCCCAAATGGCCCACTTAACACCACTCGTGGGCCCCGTTATATGCGCGTTGTGGACTTGGGCCGTACTATGATTTTGGTAGGTAAGGTCAGAAGTAGAGGAACAGCTGCTGCAACAACCACCAAGTCGCCACCGCACTGACCGCTGAAATCCCGGCTACGTGCGGCGGCGCTGCGTTGATTTGTATCAGGGATGCGCCTTCGTAAACCATCGCACCATCCCCGCCGGAGGATGGGTTCGCCGTTGCCGGTGAGTTCTGCGCCTCCGATGACTTTTGGCTGCATTTAAAAAAAGAAAAAAAAACATCCCAAATTAGAGAATAAATAAATAATTATTAAGTTATATTGGTGGTTAGCGAAAATCTGGCTTATAATATTATTGGGTAAAGTTGGAAAAGATTCAAGCAACAAATAATTGTTAAATGTCATTTATGACCTTTTGACTACGGCTATATGAAAAGTGCGTGCCAATAATATCACCTCCGGGTCTATGTCGGCCACCAACAATGGCGGTTGATCAACACAAATGGACAAAAAGCCCTTCTCATCCAACCCAATTTCCAAATATACCCCTCTAGTATGGCCTTGTGGCAGCTAAATGACCAGAGACCAACGTTCATATTCAGGGGTTTTTTGTTGGTGGACGAGAATGCCCTTGGAAGAGGAGAAATGGACTGCCTTAGAACGAGGGGGGTTTTCAGTAAATTTACCTTGTGTTTGGAGATGGACAGAAGGTGATGACGTAATCAGCACTGGCGCATGTGAAGGTGCTCGTCTTGTCGTCATACGCGTAGCTGTAAGCGCGTGGGCACGCACTCTTGAAGATCTGAGAATACATCGACGGCTGGCAAGTGTCTGGTGTTTGGTACGCGCCCGTGCAACAATACTGCGGTTTGTTAAACGCATCACACGCGCTTTTACACGCGACACCCTCCCTTCCGTCGGCGCTCGTCACACGAAGCTCTGATGGGCACGCGCCATTTAGATCCACCACGCAGCCTGTGCTTGTACAGTTATCGCCGGAGCCGCCCTGTGGTACCACTATCATCGGAAGATTATAACCATCCACGAGACTAACGTCAAAGAAATCAAGTCCGCCGGAGCCATCGAGAGTAAACTCCGCCAGAGTCGCCGGCGGCGTCGCTCCATTTCCGGCGCACTCGAGTTTGTTAGAACCACAATCGCCGGTGGCGCAGGAGAATTTCCCCGTGGAATCATCAGAGCAGAGTGTTCGCCCCCAGAAACGCCCTCCCCAAGACGCCGGTGCCGGCAGCGTCTTGGATTCCCCAGTCTGGAGAGTGAATCCAGTGGTGGGAAGTGGCGGAACGCCGCCGTTCGACAGAATCCCCGGCCAGACCGTGAACTCACATTTGTTCACAAAAGTAAAGCTCCTCGAAAACCCACCTAAAAATCCAAAAAAGAAACAGAGAACACAACAAATGAAAAACCCAGATAACAAAAAACACTCAAAATCAGAATCAATTAGCTCCATATTCCCAAACCTGGTACCAACAGCAGAAGATTTAAGAAAGCCAATAAGAAATGAACAGTGGCCGCCATTGGAGCCGAACAGAGGAGCTTCTTCAAGCGAAACAGAGGGCGACACCGAAGACGAAGAAGCTCCGGCGATGGGGGACAAGTTCAGAGCAGAAGAAACAAGACTGAGAGGGCAGGGTATTTATAGAAATGGAAGAGGAAAAAGGGAATGGGGCAACGGCTAGAAGTGTTGGGAAAGCAGTGGGGCAGGGGAATTGAAGTTGCAGGGAAATATTCTGTTTCTTACGGCGGTTAAAGGAGTATTGGGAAGCGTGAAGATGGAGTTGGGGCTCTGCGTTTCTGTCAGAGTTTGTTTAACCGGATTAGAAACGGCATGGCCAAGTTGAAGATTAATTAAAACAGAGACAGAAATAGAGATAGAATACTGATACAGATTTGGAGAACCGCCATTGTCAATTTGGGTGTTAGCAAAGAAGTCGTGGTTCATCAAGTTGGTAGGGGAAAGTTTAACCGACTCTTTCTCAGTTCAAACAGTCTTTATTTGCTTTGGGAGGCGGGCAAATTACCAATATTTGTGACACCGAGTAAACCAGAAGTACATGTATATATTATGATTTAAATTATACATGTTAGATGAATACGACTCAATTCTCGATTATGAATCTGTGATCATTCCTTAAATTAGCCGATGTGTAACTTTCATCCAACGATACAAAATAAAAAAAAAAAAAACATCCCTGGCATGCTTTGATACCATAAATAACAACATATGTCTAAGATTCAGAATCCAGATTCAGCACATAATGGCTCAAATGCATCATGTTTTGTCTTCACTTAACATAAAATAACATGAGTTCTTCCAACATGTCAGTAAGATGCATGATAGAAAAATTATCGATAAATCACCCAATATATAATTGGTCCAAATAAAATACGCTCAACCTTAGAGTTCATATGATTGGTAACTTTCAATTATTTTAATTATCTTATCTTCACGATTACTCTTATTTAAATGTAGTTTCTGATTATTCATATATTATTTTATAATTTAATTTAAATGTACGAAATTTTCATGAAACCTTACCGTAAAAATGGAACTATGGCAGGTAAATAAAGTGGTTGAATATTTTCTCCAACTTTTTACCCTCCAAAGTGAAAAGATGGTTGAATTATTACTTATTACCTATTATAATATCTACCAAAACCTTTTTTTTTTTTTCTGGGAGTCTAATGGTTAATTTAGTAAAGTCAAGTTAGTCAATTTATAAATAATTTAATTTTAATTTTTTATTTTTAGAAATTAATTACAAAACAATAAGTACTTAATAATTAATAGAACAACCAACATTGTTAATTATTGAGGCAGATATTTGTAGCTATTTGTAGCTGCACACCACAAACACTCAAAACATAAAACAAAAATATAAAAATTAAATTAAATTAATAAAAATATCCATTTATTTTTTAAAAAATATTGAAACTAAAAAAAAAAAAAAAATCAATAACGTTTTTGAATTAAAAAAAAAAAAAAAAAAACCTTCAAAATATTTTTATTATTAATATTTTGCTTCATTCTATTTCACTTTAAATTTTTTATTTATCCTATTTAACTTTTTAACAAATTTAAAAAATACCGTTAATATTATATTTCATCGTTGATAGAAATTTAAAAATTCATCAAAATTAAAATCATGTTTATATTTTTAAAGAATTTTTATTGCTTAATTTAATTCAGGGTGGGAAAGTTATTTTATTTATAATTAAATAAATTAAATAATAAATAGAAACAATATATAAAAAAAAATTATTTTATAAAATTGATAAATTGATAATTGTGATCTACAACGTTCCAAAAAAGATGGTGACGTGGCTGAAATATAGAGAATGCTTCATAGAAGGACGTAGTCCCTTGGAAGCCTCTCTAAGCCGAAATTTATTTTTTATTTTGTTTATTTCATTCTATTATTTTGATTTTTTAATTTTTATGTTTATTTTATTTTTTTATCTTTTAATAATTTTAATTCATAAATTTCAACAAAAATTTACTTATAATGTTTTTTCTATCAACCATATTGGGAGGGATTAGTTAATTTTTTAATATGTTTGAGGTAAAATAAGAATAAAATAAGACTAATTTAAACACGGTTTAATTGAATAAGACTCATATTTTCGATAAAAAATTTAGATATTCAAATGAACCGACCAACAAAGATTGATGGAATTTTTTCTTACACGATTAAATCAATAAAAGTTGTTGAATTATTTTTTAAAAATAAGAATAAAATAAAAAAGGAGGAAAAAAAAGAGAAGTGTATTGCAAGTCACATGTATTTCTAAAAGATTGTTGGAATTAATTAATTAATTAGGGACTTTTCTTGGAAATTGATCCAACCCCTTTGTTGGAAATTGAAAAGAAAGATAATGGAAAATTTCACAATTTTATGTCATATTTTTCTTTTCCCTTGGCTTCTTTTCTAAGTCCACGCAACTTCTTATCTATTTTCTTTCAATTTGGTGTTTATTTTTTTATTATTATATTTTATTTTTTTCTATTTGAGAATTAGTTGAAATATCTTTTAAATTTTCGTTAATTTTCCAACATATTTTCTTAAAATGTTTTTGAAAATATTTCTCAAAATAAAAATAAAAAATTACGAGCATAATTCTTAAATTTTGTAGTTTCCTGTTTAATCATTTCTATAATTTTGATATTTTTTAAAATTTATAGAGTTATTAGACACAAAATCAAAAATTAAAATTTTTATTATTATGATTAATACATCAAATAATTTTCAAAAACAAATTAAAAATATCATAGACCTAATAAATATACTTAAAAATTCATTGAACAAATAAACATAAGCCATTAGCCGCATTCAAGAAATATATTTTTTTAAGACTTAAAAAATAAGAAGAAGAAAAAAATTGCTGAATTGAGAATTAGTGAAAGTTCCCACATCGGAAAAACTAACCCATTGGGCGCTGAAAGGTCACTATAAAAGGGCGGAAGCAGACACTTTGAAGGCATGATCCTTCAGGCAGTCAACGGGATATGATGAGCGGTTGGCTCTCGCAAAGAAATGCGAGAAGGGTGTCCGCCCCAAAGCCTGGTTACGACAATTGGGCACTCTCATTCTTACCAATCTGATCCCAACTTCGATTCCCAAAAATATGATTTTTTTTAATTATTATTTCTGTCTCTTCATTTTTTTAATATTATTTTAACAATTCCTTTCAAATTTTGGCTTGTAATTTAAAAAAAAAAAAAAATCGCATTTTTTTTATATAAAGTTTTTTCAACTTTTATATATTTCAAAAATTAGTTTTGTATTTTGAAATTTCAGAAATATCGATTTATCCAATATAGTAATTTACTTTATTTGGAATAAGATACAAAAATCTTATTTGTACATTTTTACTTAAACAAAGTTAATTTTCTTACCACTTTTTCTTGACCCCGCAACAATTGAGTTTGTGGTATATCTATATTATCTCATAAATGCCAACGTTTAATGTACATGTATCTAATAGAGAGCATTATTTTGGAGCAGTTTAATTGAAATATACAATAAGGGGAACGAAAACTCACCCAAAAGTATGCACAAAGGAATTTAACCAAGAATGTGAGGACATATATTCGTGTATTTATTTCATTGTGGGTATAGACGTGAGGTACTCAAAAATGTTTTTATCTACACTAACCCAATTCCGAGCATAGTTATTATATCTCATTTGTTTGCTTCAGCTTTATATCTAGGCTCTAGCAAGAGAACTCAAAGTTGAAACCGAAAACCCTTTGCTTAAAGTCCAAATTCCTTTATCTATATTCTCATTTTTATAGGATTCCGTACCTTTGTTGTTGCTGGGATCCCTCTTTCTGGTTGTTGGAGTAATTCCATCATTATTGGCTTTGATGATTTGGCTCTTGAATTGGATCCGACGAGCATTATATGGCTGTGGAACGGCCATGTTCTTGGGAGTAGGAGATTGGCAACGGAGAGATGTGAAGCGTTGTGGTTGCTGTTTTGATAAGTGGATGAGATGGTGGAGCAATGTGACCAACTCGAGGATTTGTTGCTCAGTTTTGACTCTGTCTGCATGATACAGCGTTTGAAGGCGAATTGGGTTGCTCTGTGTAGCTCTGCCTTTGCTGTGTTCCTTGCTACACAAAAAACAATGGCGAAATTATTTTAAATGTTGCCCTGTTGAAATTTTGTACCTCTCTCTAGGAAACAAGAATCCTGAAACAAACCTTTGGGTTGCCCATTCTCCAATCCGGCCACAAGCTTGATGCGCTCTGTCACGGATCATGGTGATATTAGGAACGCATAATGGAAAACAAAAATGAATTGAAAAAAGGAAGAGGTTTGGATGACTTTTGAAATGGTGAATGCTAGATATTTAAACTTCAATACCAAGCAAAAAATCTTGAAACTAGAAGCGCAAGTTTGAGGCGAATTTGGACACCTCTGGGAAGAGCATGAAGTACTCATAGAAGATTTTGAGAAAGAATTGGTGAAGATTACTTTTCATCATTCTAAATATTTAAGTAGATAAAGGGAAATTTCTCCTACTTGCTCGTGTTTGCAGCTATTGGAACAAGCCATTCAAGGATCTTATCCATTTCCGCTTTGACACCAATATAAGTTGGCTGCAGAAAGACCATTGTTGTTCACAATTAGTAATGGCTGACAGTGGAATTGAATTCAAGATTGAAAACTCTAGTGAAACACAAAGAAAAGGTAATACCTCCTCACTGACATCCACCGTCCGCAATCGAGAGCGCAGACCAATTTTAACGCTTGTAGGCAATGCCCGGTATAATGCATCCCTCATATTTGAAGGAATGGAGGCTGGGCGACACGCCTTACAAAAAACAGCATAGCATTCTAAGCAACATATGTCAAATTTGAGAGTTGGTGTGCGAAATTTGAAGAAAGGAGGAAGTGAGCATACAATGAGATTTATCTGGCTGATTATGTTTGCATAATGCAAGGCAAGACCAACAGAGCCCAGTTTCTGGCCAATACTTCTGTCCTCAATAGGCAATGTTTTATCTGAAATGAGTGGTCCATTGCAGGCACCTGTGTTGTGATCACCAAATGCTTTGGCTATTGTTTGATTTATCCATGTTACAACAATAACGAGCTTTTCTACAATCTGTGAACAAAAGAGAACAAAAAAAAATTTCAAATTGGTTAGTTAACTGTCTCTTCTGCCTATGATTGAAGTTTGTTCTTTATCACCTCGCAAAATCTCGGGTCGTTCAGAAGTAAATACCTCATCTAAACTTCTGGACCAAAGGCACTTGCTTTGGAAACTCCTTACAAGCTTTCTTTGTACGTTTAGTTCTCCTTGGAATATTGACAGACTTTCTCCTATATTTGGAATAAACCGACCGCATTGAATAACACATTGGTGTTCTTGTGTAGCAAACTTAACACCAAATTGTTTGTGTAACAAAATTTGCAGGTTAAATACCAACCTATTCCTCCTTGGTTCAATGACTCCACCTCGTCAACTTTTCGTCTGTAATCTTGCTCAAATCTTTCCAGTGCTAGTAATTCATGGTATAATTCCTACAAGAGGTTCAGTACTCGGTTAAATAGATTAGAATTAACCATTAAGCGACAGAGAGACGTTTTTCAAGCTGCAGTCAAAAGTTACTGGAATTTGTGTGAATGTTTGATTAATCCACCACACCTAAATGGTGTGAAAGTTATCTTATTTATAATCAAATGAATTACAAAGATATGGAAATAGTAATAAATGGAAATAACAATAAATGGAAAGATACCTATGATAATAAAGCAAATATTAGATATTTGCCTTATAATAAAATATCAAATATAATATATATGGTAAACTATAATTTATTACTAAATATCCTTAACACCCCACCGCAAGCTAAGCGTCGGATTTAAACGAACGTGAAGCTTGAATCTGAAAAATTCAAAGAGGTTGAGAAACACTTTTCTTGAAGAAGTCAACAACCTGGTTCAGAGGAGGCGTAGAGAAACACTTTCTTGGCCATCGAAAATTGCAGAGGAATCGCCGCTCAGCGGCAATGCTGCCTTGGCTTCGGCGAGAATATGTCTAACCCATGAAGAGGGATTGTCGCTTAGCGACGATGCTGCCTTGGCTCTGGTGAGAATATTTCTAACCCCAAGAAGTAGAAGGGGAAACCTAGAGCAAGGGACAAAGACAATGTTGAAGCCGGAAGAGTCGCCACATTGGGCGAAGGAGCCAATTTTGGCGAGAAGGGCAGTCGGAAGAGTCGCCTTATCGGGCGAAGAAGCCAATTTTGGCAGGAAGGGCGGCGGCAACTTGGTTGGCGAATAGGCCAGTGCGGCACCCAGATTCCGAAGGTAAATCTCTGCAAAAGGTTGATAGGTTTAGGTTAGGGTTTATGTGAAGGATGAAGGTTGATTGGGAAGAAAATGAGAGAGACTATATTGGCCAAGGGGAAAACCGATTGGGTTGGAAAAGGTGAGGTTGTATGTACAGAGTATGACTAAAGGTGATTTGGAGGTCAATAGGGTGGAGCCGAAGAGTAATCAATCGGCTCCAACTACGGCAGCCATGAAGACTGCCCCTGCGGCGTCAAAACCAGCAGGGGTGGTGGAGAAGAAGATTAGAGGATTCAAAAGCCATTGAAAAGAAAGGATCGGGGGTGTTAAACCGAGAGGGCTCTGATACCATGTGAATGTTTGATTAATCCACCACACCTAAATGGTGTGAAAGTTATCTTATTTATAATCAAATGAATTACAAAGATATGGAAATAGTAATAAATGGAAATAACAATAAATGGAAAGATACCTATGATAATAAAGCAAATATTAGATATTTGCCTTATAATAAAATATCAAATATAATATATATGGTAAACTATAATTTATTACTAAATATCCTTAACACCCCACCGCAAGCTAAGCGTCGGATTTAAACGAACGTGAAGCTTGAATCTGAAAAATTCAAAGAGGTTGAGAAACACTTTTCATGAAGATGCTAACAACCCGGTTCTTGGCCATCAAAAATTGCAGAGGGATCGCCGCTCAGCGGCGATGCTGCCTTGGCTTCGGCGAGAATATGTCTAACCCATGAAGAGGGATTGTCGCTTAGCGACGATGCTGCCTTGGCTCTGGTGAGAATATTTCTAACCCCAAGAAGTAGAAGGGGAAACCTAGAGCAAGGGACAAAGACAATGTTGAAGCCGGAAGAGTCGCCACATTGGGCGAAGGAGCCAATTTTGGCGAGAAGGGCAGTCGGAAGAGTCGCCTTATCGGGCGAAGAAGCCAATTTTGGCAGGAAGGGCGGCGGCAACTTGGTTGGCGAATAGGCCAGTGCGGCACCCAGATTCCGAAAGTAAATCTCTGCAAAAAATGAGAGAGACTATATTGGCCAAGGGAAAAACCGATTGGGTTGGAAAAGGTGAGGTTGTATGTACAGAGTATGACTAAAGGTGATTTGGAGGTCAATAGGGTGGAGCCGAAGAGTAATCAATCGGCTCCAACTACGGCAGCCATGAAGATTGCCCCTGCAACGTCAAAACCAGCAGGGGTGGTGGAGAAGAAGATTAAAGGATTCAAAAGCCATTGAAAAGAAAGGATCGGGGTTGTTAAACCGAGAGGGCTCTGATACCATGTGAATGTTTGATTAATCCACCACACCTAAATGGTGTGAAAGTTATCTTATTTATAATCAAATGAATTACAAAGATATGGAAATAGTAATAAATGGAAATAACAATAAATGGAAAGATACCTATGATAATAAAGCAAATATTAGATATTTGCCTTATAATAAAATATCAAATATAATATATATGGTAAACTATAATTTATTACTAAATATCCTTAACAATTTGGAAATGTTTTTTCCTAGTAATTATCAGCACAATATGACAAACTTGAAGTAACCGAGTCGAAAACTGTACTTACAGATGTAGACTGAGCTAAAACAGCTAGTTCCTGGATGGCTGCTCTGGCCTCTCGAGCTTGTTTTTTACTTGAATCATTCAAATCTAGTCTGGAATATCATAACATAATTATTCGACAATGTTTTCGGAACATCAACAACTGAGCAAAAAGGTGACAATATCGACTACCTTGAAAAGTACTGATCCAGATTATGCCACTGTGGATCCTTGCACTGCTTTCCAAATCGTATAACCTCCCGTAAGAGAACGTCAAATTCCTGCCTACAGGAACAGAAACTTAAGACTACAAAGTTTGTTTCTGATAAGCATAAAAATTCATGACGACATTGTATGATTACAACACCTTTTGTCAGCAGCTGCAATGCTTAGCAATTCTTCTGAACTTGTTGAGACTAATTGTTTTATCCCTTCTGATTGTAAAAGTTCCTCTTTGAGAAGCTGGATGTTTTCTTCTGAGAGAGATTGTGACAAATTCACTACTTTGCTTATTGTATTAGCTACTTCAAAAGCTAATATAGAGATCTCCCAACCATTTGAAGCCATGCCTGTAAAAAACCCACCGTTCATGTGCAAATTTGACACACTATTCCCAATTGTTTTCAATAAATCAATTGCCCTCCCGCGTGACCCTGCTTGTGAGTTCACTGGTGCAACCTATACAATACGACAGACCAATAACAGAGCCTGAGGACTAAATGGATAAAAAGTTGACTGGAAGCACTATATCCTTTAAATCGATATAACCATTCATCTAGTATTGTGTTTCTCCTTCAAAAGATGGGCACAAATTGTAGAAAAAGAATCAAGAATCAATAATCTTGGCCTTATTTATTTATTCAATCAAGAAGGCATACAGAATTTATATACCTTCAAACATATGACGGTGTTCATATTATTGATAATATAAGAATAGTGCAAATAATGTAGGCTAAGTCATGCAGATCACCTTAAAGGATCAGTAAGAACTTCTAATGACATGCTATATCTATATGTATGGTCGTTAATTCTTACATTTTCTCATTAAATAACCATAAAGAAGGTCCCAAGGACATCACTAGGGGAAAGGAGTCTATAAAATAGTGGAGCACATGCTTGTCCATTTATAGGTTGCATTTGCAAGATTCACGGTGCTACAGATTTACGATGGCAGATTAACCATTCAGTAGTCCCTATCTAACACATGATGTCAAGAGACTAAATCGCCCTTCCAGTATTCAAATATTCTAACTTCTATACTTCAGAAATCCTGTATTGACTTCTTAAGGATCCAAATATATTCATCATATCGAGTTATTTATAAATTTCATCACGTTGATCGCCAGCAAATTCAAAGGATCTCTCTCCTACCTATTCCACAACTAATCTTTTCGACGGGTCAACTCTTGACAGCATTAATGTGAAATTCAATTCCATAAGTTGCACCTTCTTTCTCTTTATTGTGATCAGGATTGACTAACAAACTTGATTTCCATAGCCATAATTTGGTTTTAATCACATCTAAATGGTAATGCAAATGGAATAAACATACCTTATTGCTTCCTGCCTTAGACGGAGGTGATGGCAATAGTGACACACCAGAACGAGACCTTTGCGGCATTTCATTCCGGTCAATTGCCTCAGAATTCAAACACGAATTCCCTATCCGATCCTCAGATGTTTGCGTTATCTTCTCTGATTCGAAGTAATCCTTGTCTATTCCATTGGAACATACCCCTCCCATTGTGTTCCCCATCTCAAACTTCTACTATTCTCCGAAGTCCCTGTACAATCTGGACGGTCATCATCATTGATTTAATTTCCACTTCATTAACGCCTGAAGCAAGGAAAAAGAGGGGCGGGGAACAACAAAGAGCACGCACAACACAATCACATAATTACAACGCTTAAATTTCTCAATCATCGAGAAACTTACAAGTTATAACCGGCGGATTGAACTAAGATTCGAAAATTATCAACCGATACGCAAATGGAAAATCCATTACTCTAATCAAATCAAACAACAAGAAGTAGCAAGTAGCAACAGTAATCAGCAGAAGACTCAATAACCAGCACAAGAAAATACCTCAGGACAAAGAAAAACAAGAAGCTAACGTATTTCAAAGAGAAATTCGCAATCGGAGCGGGGAAATTTGAAGCAATATCGTGAAGAAGTCCAGAAGCGTTCTTGTAAGAAATTATCAGATTAAGCGTGCTTCTGCTGCTGCTAACACAAGAGAAAGTTCGTCCAGAGTGATAAATTAGAATGGAAATGAAACGTTTTCCATTTTCAGATTTGAGTGTTGAAGCCGAAGAAGGAGGAGCAGCAGCAGCAGAGATGAAGAACAGAGGCGGTGACTCGGCTCCTCCGCGGCCGTGGATTGTAAAAGAAGAGGCTTCTTATGAATTCAACCGCCAAAATATAGTCTTCCCTCCTATCATTTTTACCCTTCAAATATTTTTTTAATTATTTTTAAAAATCTGAAAATCATTTTATACTAAAAAAATATTAGAAAATATGCTACGTGGCGTTTAAATTTATTTCTTAATATATATATATATATTATACCATTTAATTTAATAAATTTTTTTATTAATTAAATTAACAACCCCCTCGCACTTTGACTACTCTAATATTATTTGTGCCAATTGGTGTCATCATTTATACTTAAATTAAAAGGTTAAAAACTATATTCATGTAAATTTAATAACAACTAAAATAAATATTAAAAATAAAAAATAACCCTATCATACTTAATTAACTTGATTTAAATTATTAGAACACGTAAAATGATACGAATATTTAAAAAATACAAATATTAATTATATATTATTTCCATTTTGAAAATAAAAAAATCGGTAATTAGGATAATGTTGGCCTCGTTTGGGTTGCTAGGAATACGATCTTCGTGGGTTTTATTTTATGATTTTAATATAAGTCAACCAATTTACACAAAACATTATGATTAGAGAGCTTATTATAGGCTTATCGAATATAAAATATTGCAAATTTGCGTTTACTTTATTTTTCTTTTGTTTAATTACAATAAAATAACATAAAAAATCAGCAAATTACTATATTTTGTAGATTTGGTCCCTATAAATTTTTGCATTCAATTTGTATTCATATTAGCTAAAGTTGTTATTATTAAACTATGATATTCACTTTAATTAAGTTTTTCTTCAATCATATATATTTTAATTATACTTAATTTAATTATTTAGTCAAAATTTATCATATGTAATTTAAAAAATTCTCAAATTTATCGAAGTTGATAAATCAACATTTTTATAATAAACTTTTTATTCTAAAAAACATATTATTCTTAAAATAAATTAAAATTAAATCAACTCCAATAAATCGATATGGACGTATATTTGATCACTTCAATAAATCAACCTTTTTATAATAAGCTTTTGATTCTAAAGTGACGGTCACTTTTCATTAATTTTATAGTTATGGTAGAATTTTAAATTATTCTAATAAAACATATTATTCTTAAAATAAATTACTATTTTTTTAAATAAAAATAAAATACATTTTGCGAACCATTATATAAAAAACCCTTTAAATTATACTTGAAAGTGTCAATTACTCAGATAAAAGTTTCCATATGCGTGCAACATGCCCTAAACCATTCCACTCTATTTGACTTTTTATTTGTATTGCCAAATAAAAAATATTAAAGATTAGTTAGACCTTTTTTTTTTTTTTTTCACAATTATTTAATTTGAATTGTTTCATATTATATAACGGTCGAGGACATTATCGGCATTTTTTTGGAATATCCTACAAGTAAAGTCCACTCACCTCATCCAATGGTGGATATTTCATCCATGCGATCTTGACACGTGTAATTATTGTATTTAATTCATTTGCTTTGTATTCCTGAATGGAATGAAAACGTATATCCGACCTACATTCATAGGTATTATGGTAATTTAAAGTTGACTTTTTTTACTTTTGACTTTTGATTAAGTTCATTTCGTGCACGGAGTTTTCAAATTATTTGTTGTGAACAATACTTATATACATCATCTATATGAAATAACAATTATTCAAATCAACCTATGAGATTGATCATTTAATTTTCAGCTGTTTTTATAGAAAGAATGTCGATAAAAAATTATAGAGTGTGAAAATGATTATTCATTTCAATAATTAGAAGTTACCACATATCAAAATTACTCGTCCGGTTAAACGAGCAGCAACACTCGTTTAACGACTATTGAGCTAACCTATGCACGACCGTAATTTGCAATCTATTGATATATGAGCCAGTTTATTTCAAGGGATCGAATCAGTTTAATTAAAAAAGTAGGTTGAATCGAGTTGAGTTGGGTATAATTGAACAAATTATTATTATTATTATTATTTGTCTTTAATTGTATAATTGGTCCACCTAAAGGCTTAATGGGCTTCCTTCTGTAGTTGATAATTTGGGCTTTCACTTATTGCAAATGACCATATTTTTTACCATTCCCTTTTTTTTTTCTTTTTTTTCTATTATTGAAAATTTGAATAATATTAATAATATTATTATTACTATTTTTTCCCTCTCTTTATTTTTTTTTTACAGAATAATATCCCATTGGGAATTTAGGAAATTATTTTTTTTAAAAAAATACAATAATTCCAAAAAGTGGTTGTGAGAGAAGTGAAGTTGTGGGCCCAAATTGATGGGCTCGGCACGTGCGAGTATATCATCTTAACGTGCGAATTGTTCAATCTCTTGTTTCCGCTGCATAGTCTCGCTGTCACACACCTCTAACTGGCCCCGTACCGATTCAATCATGGTGGTTGGACGGTCTTGATTTCATCTCCTCCTTTATTTGTTCTTTTTTGAATTAAGATATTTGTATATTTATATTAAAAAAAAAAACATTTTTACTCATTTATTCAATAATTTCTAAAAACTTAATGCACCGACTGATATAATATATATATATACATATATTATTTCAATAATATAGGTATTAAAATTTCTTATTTTCGAATTAAAAACAAATATCTTAACCAATGACACCAGAAATATTATATTTTTTAATCTTCAATAAATAAATAAATATATATATATATTGAATTATGTTTGGTTCGACTATATTTGTATTTTTAAAATGTAAAAACTTAATAAATAAATATTGAAATATATATTATTGATTGATTAAATTTATATTGTTTTTAATATTCTGTAACTAGCCATGAGACCTTTTAAGTGTGTTGGTATTTATTATTTAAATTCATTTTGGATTTTTTTAATTCGTTTCAACATTTTAAACTGATATAACTATTTTTTTATCATAAAAATTAAATATTCTGTTGATTCAATTAATCCTTATTAGAGTTAAAAGGTGTTAATGATGAGATATTAATCTAACTAAATTTAATAAAATTAATAATTTTAAGTAATTAATACCCGTGATTATTAAAACTATTTTTAAATTGAGTTTCGTCACATTTTTTAATTTAAATAACTTTTTTTATTAAAATATGAACTCAACTCAATATTTTTATTTTGGTAGAAAAAGTAAAATCTTAACATTATTTATTTTAAAATATTAAATTAAAATTGGTAATTTAATTTGGAATGTTTTAAAAAAGTGGTTGGAGAATTAAAAAAAATGAATTAAGAAATTATAAATTATAAATTATAAATAAAAAATAAAAAAAAAAACAAGAAAAAAAAAGGCTGTAATTTTATGGTGCCACGTAATAATATTTTTAAAAGAAAAAAGGTTAGAATTGGAAGAAGAAAGTTTAATTTGTTAAATATTTGGGAAAGAGGGAAATGAGGAGGGTGAAATTTAGATCAGACGGGAGTAAAAGAAAGCATGGTCCACGTCTATTGAAACCATCCCCCCATTCGTTATTACCATTTTAGCCCCAAAATTTCGGGCTCTCTCTGTCTTAAAATGGCCACTCTCCCCTTCATCATCTTCGCGTCGATCCATTTTCATCAACACAACAAGAAGAAGCCTTCCCGTATTCCATCTCCTTACACCAAGACACCATGAGAGAGATTCTTCACGTTCAAGGTGGCCAATGCGGCAACCAAATCGGATCCAAGTTCTGGGAAGTCATCTGCGATGAGCACGGTATCGACGCCACCGGAAAATACAACGGAGATCCTTCCTCTGATCTTCAACTGGAGAGGATCAATGTCTATTACAATGAGGCTTCTGGCGGTAGATACGTTCCCAGGGCTGTTCTCATGGATCTTGAGCCCGGTACCATGGATAGTATCAGATCCGGTCCCTACGGTCAGATCTTTCGCCCCGATAATTTCGTTTTTGGACAGTCCGGTGCCGGAAATAACTGGGCCAAGGGTCATTACACCGAAGGAGCTGAGTTGATCGACTCCGTTCTTGATGTTGTTCGTAAGGAGGCTGAGAACTGTGATTGCTTGCAAGGTATTACGTTCTCTGCTCTGTTCTTCGATCGTACATTCTCACTATTCTGCTTTGTGAATTCAAGGAGTCTGCTCATTTCGATTGAATCATATTTTGTTTACTTCCTCATTATACTGCTTCATCAATTCATTCGGTCTGTTTATTTCGATTAAACCTATTCTTACATTCTCATTCTACGACTTCGTGAATTGAAAGAATCTGTAGATTTCAATGAATTACTCGAAGCATCGAAAACAATGCTTAGCGTTCGTCAAATTTACTGAAAATTTCTCTATCCAATATTCTCTGGTTTATCCAACGCATCTAAACTTTTCGTTGCTCTTATCGAAATTTGTTTCGAAGTCATTACCGTGGATGCGGTTAAAAAAAAGAGATCAAATATCATCGGATTTGGTTTTCCTCAAAGCAGGGGAAGGCTACTGAGTGTGAGCACCCTCGTTGACGGATTTGGTTTTCCTTGTTTCCTATTATTAGAAAATATGAAGAACAAAGTGATGGTTGCTATAACTTTCTCAGATCCACGTCCGTTGCCCACTAAACTTGCTCTGGCAATGTCACAGCTATTGCCTGTTACTCAAATCTCCGACAATTTTATTTTCTCTGCCTTGAAAACCATGATGATATGATTTTCTTCATTTTCACAATTTAAAATTTATTTCTAGCGAATTATGTATAGTGGTTGTCAGCAGAATCCTGATCTTGATATCCTAACTGCTTAACCTCTCGCCATTTCCTGCCTCTGCACTCAAATTGGTGAGACAGAGTGTCAAATTTTGTCCATACCCAATATATATATACACATATATATTAACCAACAACACTAATAATTGCTTCTTTTTTTTTTTTTTTTAAATAATGGAAGTTTTCTGGATTTACTGTTCTTTATGATTTTGATTTATTTTACTGAATTTTATGGTGTGTGATTTGTGAAGAGGACATTGCTGAGTGATGAGTGGACCCCACAGTGTCTCTCATGCATCCAATCCATATGAAATTTTTTATTCCACCTATTTCAACTTAAAATAAAAGAAAGCTCAACTTTAATGGTCAAAAAATCTTTTGTTTATTATTATTATTTTCTTGCACCTCCATGATTGAGATTGTACAACCAGACAATTGTCGTGTTCTCTAGCTACCGTACCGACACTACCTTTTCTTAGCAAAATGTCTCGAGGCTTTCATGAATAGTGGCCACTCAAAGGTAAATTCTAATGGGAGTTTAACTCTAATAATAGTTGAGGACAAGAGATCTTCGTTCATGTTATATATTTTGTAGATAGCTCTTGATAACACACTCAAGACTTCGTAATCTTGATGAACATATATCAATTTGGGAATGTCCTGGAATCAAATCGTTAACCCATTTAGGTTTCTCTTTTGTTTTGTGGAATTTATGAAGTGATATTATGAGCTAAACCTTATCTAAGAGTTGTTGTTCAAAAGATTGATTGAGCACAGTATTTCTTTTCCTATTTCTCTCTGTTTGTAGCTTAGCTTAACACCAGTGAGGCATTTTAAAATAATCTATTGTCCCTTGCGTGTTGGCCAGGTTTTCAGGTTTGTCACTCCCTTGGAGGAGGCACTGGTTCTGGCATGGGAACCCTCTTGATATCGAAGATTAGAGAGGAATATCCAGACAGAATGATGCTCACATTCTCGGTTTTCCCTTCTCCCAAGGTCTCAGACACGGTTGTGGAACCATATAATGCCACACTTTCAGTGCATCAGCTGGTAGAGAATGCAGATGAATGCATGGTTCTTGATAATGAAGCTCTTTATGACATTTGCTTCAGGACCTTAAAGCTCAGCACTCCTAGCTGTAACCCCCCTCTCTCTCTCATTATTTTACTAATTCATCTAGGGATTGACCAATTGTTTGTTTCATGAAAAAATTGACTCACTATCTGTTGGTTTGTGTACAGTCGGTGACCTGAACCATTTGATCTCTGCAACCATGAGTGGAGTAACATGTTGCTTGAGATTCCCAGGTCAACTGAACTCAGACCTGAGGAAATTGGCAGTGAATTTGATCCCATTTCCTCGTCTTCACTTCTTCATGGTGGGATTTGCCCCTCTGACCTCCCGTGGCTCCCAGCAGTACATCTCCCTGACCGTCCCAGAGCTGACCCAGCAAATGTGGGACGCCAAGAACATGATGTGCGCCGCCGACCCCCGCCATGGCCGGTACCTGACGGCCTCCGCCATGTTCAGAGGAAGAATGAGCACCAAAGAAGTAGACGAACAGATGATCAACGTGCAGAACAAAAACTCATCCTACTTCGTGGAATGGATCCCCAACAACGTAAAATCAAGTGTGTGTGACATCCCTCCAAAGGGCCTGAAAATGGCGTCCACATTCGTGGGAAACTCGACCTCCATTCAAGAGATGTTCAGAAGGGTGAGCGAGCAGTTCACAGCCATGTTCAGACGCAAGGCTTTTCTGCATTGGTACACAGGTGAAGGAATGGATGAAATGGAGTTTACAGAGGCGGAGAGTAATATGAATGACTTGGTAGCTGAGTATCAGCAGTATCAGGACGCCACCGTTGATGATGATGCTGATTTTGAGGATCGTGAAGAAGAATATCCGGAACAGTAAATTTACTCAGCCGGTGCTTCCCTGAATTCTTGGTTTGATTGCTCTCCCTTTCTCTCTCTATCTTTGCCAGAATTCTCCACAAAAATATGCAACGCGTGATTTGATTGTTTCTCCCATTTTGGCTCATTCTTCCATCTTCATTGTTGCGTATTGTTAATTGTTTGTTCTTTCTATTAAATAAAATAATTTCAATGCGCAGTCTTATTATTATTATTATTATTATTATTATTATTATTTGAGAATTTTAATGGTTGATAATTCATAAATAGGTTATATATTAAATTTTCAAATTTTGGAAGGCCTGCAACTTGTCAGTGAGTGGCCTGTAATGTCCGCAAATTTTTAAATTACCATATCTGTAAAAATGAGTCGATGACAATAAATCCTTGAGCTTCCATATTACCAAGATTTTCTGAAAATTCATTCAATTCTTTGTTTATTCCATTATTGAAGATTTTCTGCCACTATTTTAATAAGAGCGTCCATTAATTACAAAACAAACATATTTTATCATTTATGTATGTGAGATTTATTAATTACAAAAAAAAAATTAATAATAATAATACATTGTTAATAACTAATATTTAATTCTTACAAAAACTAAAATATTGTTTTAATTTTTTTTTAAAACTAAAATATCGTTTTAAAAAATTTATTAAAAAATTCAAAAGAAATTTCGTTGAAGAAAATATTTCCCAATCGTCATTGGGCCGACTCGACCCTAAAATGAGGCCCAGCCCATTCTCGGTTCAAACTCAAGCCCAATTTAGGGCACCGTTTGGGTCTGAACCAGGATGTGACCCAACCCCGTTAGCCCAATGGAATTAGGAGGAAGGATGTGAGCTTTTAATATGGCAATTTTCCAATAAATATAGAAAATGTCCGTCCGGAATTTTAGGGGGGCAGTAAATGGTTTACTTCCCAATAATAATAGATAATAATTACTATTCACATTTAGTATTTATTTTAATTGTTGATCGACTGATCAGGTGTTTGTAGCACCCATTAAATAGCTAAAATTACCATAATTAGTTACAACCTTAAAATTCAAGAATAATAGTATTTATTTTTGCTGATTTAGGAAATTCTATTTCTAACAAAATAACAATGAAAAAAATCAAGCAAAAAAATCTCTATTTGATAATTACGTTATTAAAGAAAAAATAAAAAAAATAATAATAATAAGAGAGAGACTTTTGGGCAGGGCGGGGCAGCTCTTAGGATTCTATCTAACTTTACAATTAAAAAATCTACCCTAATTCCACGATCAAAACAGGCGCCCACATCAAATTTGATTACCTGAATCCGAAGATCAAAAAAATAATGACCGTGGAATTCTGATGAACAGTGGTGTGGTCACAAACAGGGTGTTACGCCAACAATCTGGCGGCGCCGTTGTTGTTGTTGTTGTTGTTGTTCTTAGACTTCCAGATCTTAATCCTGTTCTGTCTTGCTTGCGCGGCCATGCATCTGGTGTAATTCCTCTGACTAATTTCATCAAAAGAGAGGTTCAAATCAGGAATCCCCGTTGGGCCGAATGAAGGATCATATATAGAAATTGCCCCATTTGGAATTCGGACATTCTGACTGTTGCTCTGTTCCGTCGTGGAAACCGCCGCGGGAACCGCCGTCTGATTCTTGATGGGCGGTTGACATTGATGAAAATGATGTTTCTCCTCCGGAATTCGGGGTTTAACAGTGAACTTGACGGCTTTGATGGCCGAACTTGAGGCCCTTATTTCTGGATTTGTCGATTCCTTCTTAGAATCCTGAATCATCTGAACAAGAAAGAACATGTGAAATTGAATTAAGAACTTGTGGCGTGTAGAGCTCCACGTAGAGAGAAAAAATCAGTACCTTTTGCCTCTTCGCCTTCAGCTCCGAATTGGTGGTTTTCAGTTCATTATAATGCCGCTTTATAAGCTTAACTTTCTGTTTCGATTATCAATTTAAACAGAATGATTATGAGAAAAACAAATCTTAATAGAGACGAAGAACAAGAACACAATACAAACTCACACCAACCAAAGCTTGATTCTGCTGCGTCAATTGATGAACAGTTTCCAAATACTGAGATTTCTGATTTCAAGATCCAAAAAAACATCGCAACAATGAGCAAAAATCAGAATCAGAGAACACAAACAACGAACAAAAATCGCTAAAACTAGGTTTAAAAAAATCCAAGAAATCCGATTGAACAAAAAATTGGGGGAAAATTATAGACGAATGCGTTACCGACCTTATCGAGACAGGGTTTCTTATTTGGAAGATTAGCTTTGTTAATCTCATCAGATTCACACCGCGATAACGGCAAGGAGTCGAGCGAGAAAGGAGTAGTCGGGCTGGACTCCTTGTCCTTACCGGACGACGGTGGCGGTGGCGGTGGCGGTGGCCGCGGCGGGGGGACGATGGAGACGGAATCCGGCGGCGAAACTACGGCGGATCTCTTGGCGCGGACAGGCCAGGCAGGGGGTAAACCAAGAGAAAACTCGAATTGCTGAACGAGAAGAGGAAATTCGCTGAGGATTTGACAGCCGAGGAGTTCGTCAGGGGTGAGGGCGTCGAGATCGGGAGCGGCGCATTGATGAACAGGATTGGTGGACGCCATGGCAGGTCTCCGAGGTTTAGGGCAGGCCAGATTTCATGGGAGGGCGGAGAGGATTTTTATAGACGAAAGGAAGAAGAGAGGAATTCGACGGGGAGTGAGCGTTGGTTGGGGACTGGGTTTCTCTTTCTGTGAAACCAAATAGGAAAAGATTTAGGAAAAGGGCGTGGGTTTGTGACACGTGTCCTCTGGATGGGGAATCAGAATGCTCCTCTAGGGTTTAAGCCTTCTAATCCCCCCCCGCCCTTCTCTATCATATTTATAACTAATGTTCGTTCTATCTTATCTTTTATTTTTAAATTTAAATCTAATATTTTTAAATTTAAAATCTTATAAAATGAATAATTAAAGTATAATTCCAATCTCCAAAAATTTTAAATTTATCAATAATGTATTCATATATTAAATGTGCCATTTTGATAGATTTAAAATATTTTTTTTAATTGCAAAAATGGGCTTCAAGGCTAACATAAATCTATCACATACAAGTTAAAGATACTTATTATATTTATACTTAGATTTAGATTTGCCTTATTAATTATTTATTTGAATTTGAAAGATAAATAAATATTCATACTATCGTTAATTATTTTATTTCAATGTTAATTTAAGAAATAGATAAATATTCAATAAATTAAATGCATCAAATTAACGGAATGATTTTATTTTAATGTTAATTTAAAAGATAGATAAATATTCATCTAATTAAGCAAATCAAATCAAATTAATAAGGATGACGTTGATTATTTTATTTTCAATGTTAATTTGAAAGATATATAAATATTTTTTTTTTTACTAAACCTCAAATTAACATCCGAAAAATGGGAATGCAATACAAGATAGCCTAAACAATATTCATCTCACGAATTACACAATTTTGTAAATAAAATATTGATCAAACTTAACAACCGCTCGTCAATGATACTAACGATCATAATAAATGACAATTGACGAGGGAAAGCTTTCAATCTCAACGTACCTTTTGCATAATATATATTAAAATAAACGTACTAAAACAATGAAAAGTAAAGTAATACATATTCGACCGTGTAGTGTCGACTTCGACGTTGCAAGGTAACTCAAACCCCATTCATACTAGCTTGTTTTTATTTCTCGTTAGACCTTAGCCAAAGTTTGCCTTTATCAACAAAAAAACGATTAGTAAAAAATTTAAGTTTCAACTATACAGTAGCTCGTGATCTTGACACACTGCAAGAAATTTCAAGTCTCATTCACATACTTCATTGTATTTGTGACTTCACTAGACTAGACTTTAAGCAAAGTTTGCTTTCTACCCACAAAAAAAATAAAAATAAAACAATTCGTATGAAATTTAAGTTTGTTCAGTTAGTGGTTGCTCCTTCTAGTGAAACAAAAAGAACATAAAAAAAGAAATAAAATCCACGCGTTCAAGTGGAACAAAAAGAACATAGAATTCACTCGAGAATAAGTGGAATAAAAAAAAACATAGAATTTAAACAAATTTTAAATAATATGATTAACTGATATTTAGGAGGAGATCTCGAGTAATCCATCCATTAATAGAGGGAATCAATAAACAGATGAATTAAATGAAAATAAAAATAAAAATTTATACAAATAATTAATAATTTTAGGCATCTATTTAAAGTAACGTTATCTTTTTTTGTAGATATCAGCCACAATTTCTCTCAATATTGTAACTTAGACGGGCTGGCCCAGAATGACTGATCAGCCCACCGCAATACTCTTTCCAGCCTATCAAAATTGGGCCCAATTTTTCTTGATTGAAAGTAAAATTGGGCCTGACGGGCCTAAATAGGCCCAAATTCATCAAGTGGGCTTCTATTGACAGCTCAATCCTTGGCGTGTACAGATTCTCTCTCCTTACTCAACATTTCTAAAAAATGTGTTCAATATTCAATTTTAAGATTTTGTTGGGTACATTTTAATTCATTTTTATGACAATTTTTTTTAATTGACTATTTAAATTTGAGAGTATTTGATTATATTCCTATTTTCTTAATTTTTTAAATTGTTATATTAGTCAAAATTTCCATATGAAAAACAATTTACATATTCGGATTGAGAAAAATAAATAAAAATAAAACCCGTTAATATAAATTATTTATGACTTTGGTTATATTGAGGAAGTTGATCTTCATAACAAGTGATTATTTATTTTAGGTATGTTGTTAATATATTTTACCTTTTTTTTATTATTAGTACACATCAAATTCAATTTTTTATAATTATTGTTGGTGATTCAAGTATATATGGCTCGAATAATTGTCGTGCATAGTAGTGTCATTCATGTTGCCAGGTGGAAGATAATTTTTTTTTCAAACTATTCCAAATGTCCACAGTACATCGACCGTTTTGAATGTATACTTGAACCTCCACCACACCTTTGCATCGTTAGCTAAATGCATTATTGCCAACGTGATGTTCGATTTTTCTGCCATGATATTTGTGACTCAAAAGTACATATTCCCACGGAAGCCAAAAAGAAAGAGGAAAGGCCTGAAATGAGAGGTTAAATGATTGAACTACAAGTTGGGACCGATGCCAATTCAGTGAGCTCGAATCACATAAAGAAAGGTTAATTGGACAAATAAGCTGGCCCAAAGAATTTATGCCAAAGCAAATTTTCAGACTTCATCTCTCTATATATGACTATCATTCTTATGAATTCCCAACTCAAAACAGAGAGTAAAAGATATAGAGAGAAATGGGTTGGTTGATAAGAGAGAGAAGAGGGCCAGCATGGAAACAAGGATGGGCGGAGCAGGCCATAGCCTCCATAACTCCACCACCAAGGCCTCTGCTTGCCATACTTGGAATCTTGGTCATTCTGCTATCTGTGTCATCATTTTCAAGCCACAGGTCACAGGTGAAGACAACAAGGATCAACTTTAAGCTCATCTTCTTGCTCTTACCTCTAGTATTTGTCTTTGTTGGAAACTCCGTTGTTAGATATGGTCGTCTTGTAATCATCACTCCGAGAACAAAGCTCGAGCCAGTTTACGTCACCGACAACACTGCATCGCCTTTGGGCGTGGCGGTTTTGCTGGTTGTGTTGTTGGTCTTGATATCTTATCAGCCATACTTTCACTCTAAATGGTTTCCAGCAATATGGAGATCATATTATTATTAGGCCATCATGCTTTGGCTTTGGATTATGAACAATGTAAGGCTCCTACAGTACGTTCCTCCAAGCCAAAAATGAAAAAAAAAAACATGTAATTTCAGAGAAGAAATAACAGATCCATAAAAGGAAAGGAGTTTATGTTAGGCAGAGGTTAGAAGTTATTGACAATCCTTGTTTATAGGCAGAGATAAACAATGAAACATGGAAATACAGACAGATAATCAGAGATATCTGCAAGGAAACAACTTACACTTGCATGGTTAATTTCACAAATGAGAGTACCAACTTACACACAAACATTGCTCCTCAATTTGGGAGGTTTGAATGACGATGTAAACAATCTGGGGGTCTCTGATTCACGTTTAAGGCCTCTTCTTCGTTTAAAACTCCCGTCTTCCTGATAACCAAGAAAAAGAAGAAAACATGTTATAACTTATAAGCTTATTTCATGTCATAGATACATAGAAGGAAGGAAAAACAGCCCAAAATGATTGTCCATTCTTGATATTCTTCCATTGTTACGTCAGGTTATGAGTTTCCTTTCTAAACTGCACACAATTAAAAGGAAAAAAAATAGCTTCGTGTGATAGCTTCGGTAGTACTCACTATCGCCACTAAAATTAGGTAATCACTTAACCTCCAGCAACAACCTCGAGACAGCTACCGATAAAATTGTTGAGGGTTGTTGGGAGAGGAGTCTCACATTAGGCTAATTAAGGGAAAGATAGTGGGTTTATAAGTAAGGAATACTATCTCCATTGGTATGAGGCATTTTGGAGAAACCAAAAGAAAAGTATGAGAGTTTATGCTCAAAGTGGACAATATCATACCATTGTGGAGGGTCGGGTTCCTAACATGGTATCAGTGCTGTGCCTTTAACTTAGTCATGTCGATAAAATTCTCAAGTGTCGAACAAAAAAGTTGTGATCCTCAAAGGGATAGTAAAAAGTGACTCATGTGTCGAACAAAGGGTGTACTTTGTTCGAAAGCTCCAGAGAAGGGGTCGGGTCTCGATTAAGGGGAGACTGTTGGAGGGTTCCATAGGCCTCAAGGGAAGCTCTATGGTGTACTTTGTTCAAGGGAAGGATTGTTGGGAGAGGAGTCACACATTGGCTAACTAAGGGGAAGATTATGAGTTTATAAGTGAGAAATACTATGTCCATTGATAGTAAAGACCGTAGGAGACATTATGTCATAGGGGAATATCTAGACATAGGACATTACGCCTACAGGTGGGAAGAGAGCATCCCAAGAACTTAAAGGAAAATTAGCCTCCACACAATGATATTCCTAAGATCTCGTATAAGAGGTTTATATGCTAGAAGAGAGATCTATATGCTCAAAAGAGCCAGTGATGGGATATTACCGTGAGAGGAGACTAAGATCTCATATAAGAACCTAAGAGGTTTATATGCTAGAAGAGAGGTCTATATGCTCAAAAGAGCCAGTGATATCACTGTGAGAGAAGACATGACTAGATCAACATAAGACATTCGGGGAGATAGCCTAAGTGAACATAGAGGCTTTTTGGGAAACCAAACGCAAATCGATGTGAACTTATGTCCAAAATGGACAATATCATACTATTGTAGAAGGTCGTAGTTTCTAACAAAAATGAACATCGTAACTCACATTTGATACCAGCTGTGAAACAGAGGCAGGAGGTAAAAAAGGCATATTTTAGGCGAAAATCTCTCGGTTCTTCCATTTTCTATCAATTTTTTTCTAACATCCCTGTGTACTCGTTCTGAAATTTAGTTTAATTATGTTCTAGATTTCATTTTTAGGACTACGATTGTACTTCAGCCTTTCTGAGCTGTATGAGCATTTAATTCCTAGAAAATGACACTGGAAATGTGTCGCTATAATTGATGAACTAATAAACATGCACATAGAACTTCAAACTTAGTTAGATAAAGAGAATATATGCCATGAATAACAGGTAAAGCAACAAGACGAGCAAATGGAATATGAATTCTTGCAGGATAACTACCTTACTAGAATCTCCATTGCCACGAGATGCTTGCACAGGAGAAGCTTTTTTCCTCACATTGATGTTACTGCCACTACCCTTCCCTTTTTTCTTCACTCCTAAGCTGCAGGTTCTATAGCCAGATTCAGATGTGCATCGGTTTAACACAGGCGTAACTGATACGCCATTATGCTTTCTTAAGACTTCCAATTCACGTGAAATTCTAGAAATTTCATCATTTAATTTTCTGGAATCGACCTCCGTCTTTTCCAACTGACTTTCCAAGGCTGCGATTGTGCAATCTTTTTCAATATTCAAAGATTGAAGCTGTTCCATATTAGCAAGAAGATTTTCAATCTTCGTACACGCTAGTTCAACTTCCGTGAGATTATGCCTTAATTTACTTTCGTAGTCATTCTCCATAATGCTGTACTGATTCCATACAAAGGTCTTCTCTGCTAGAAGTGCAGTTACCTCGGAACTCCTTTCTGATGCAAGCTTTTCATATGCTTTTTGTAATCTCTGTACCTCGATCTTCAAGGCTTTAGAATTTCGTGTTTTTTCGTTAGATTTTCCAGTTTGCAGTGAGCTCCTTGAAGAAACATCCTGAAACTATTTGAAAATTATAACTATAATGTTGAAAAAAGAGAGCGTTAAAGAATTTAAAAGACGTTGAAGAACATACAGATGGATCGGAGATTTTAGTAGAGAGCAGGATGAATAATTCTTTGAAATCTTGCAACTCGTTGTTCGTCTGGTCTGAAACATATGAAAAACATTAATCGAGTAATTACATATCTCGATCATCGTTAGACGAACAACTGCAACTATGTAGAAACCTACAAACCTGAAATAACTTGACAAAGGAAACTCTCTCTCTGCTTCAAACTCATGTTTAAATCTAACTTTGATGCCTCAAGTGAGCGTTGCTTGTCTCGTAAAACCAAATCCGCTTGCAACTACGCAGAAATGCCCAAATTCCTCAAAAATAACAAACCAGAAATTTCACGACGTTCTTTTTAATTCAGACCAAAAAGAGACCGAATCACAGAAGGAATCGATACCTGGCAGACTAAATCTTCGTAAAGACGAGTATCTGAGCTCCACCGATCGTGTTGCATTCTGATGCGATCTTCAAGAAGTTTTCGCTCTTCAATGAGGGTTTCGAGCTGTTTCTGTTGAGTCTGTAGCATATGAACCAAAGCGCTGAAGATCTTCTCCCAATTTTGACGGTGTGAAGAGGATTTCGATCGTTTAATCTTGCCCATCGTGTATTCAATTCAAGAAGAAAGTACGATTCTGAATTGAGAGAACAAATACTCAAATTCGACCGTTGTAGTTTTCCAAATTCGACCGATTCTTCTCTTATACTGGTCGGAGCGTAGGCCCAATCCAGAGCTATTGGGCCTCCCATGAAAAACCACGAGAAATTTATGTTGAAAGGCATAAATTTTCGGCCCATTGGCCCACAGAATTCAATTTTTGTTAAATTGTCAAAAATACCCCTAATTATACTCAAAAACTTTTAAAATTTTTATTTTAACCCTTAAATTAAATATTTTTAAAATTATATCTTAATTTTTGAAATTTTCGGCCCATTGGCCCACAGAAGTATTTTTTTTTTTTTTTAAATTGGCGGATTAAATGGCCAAATTTGATTATTTTTTAAAACTAGGAGGAATTTACAAATTGTCTAAATTTAAGGCCTAAAAAATAATTTTATCTTAGTACATAAATTTTAAAAAATAAAATTAATAGGTCTCCATTTTTTAAAAGTATTTTAATGCCACGTGGCATTTTATTTAATTTTAAAATGGCATACTAAAAATTAAAAAAAATGTAATCACTAAGCAAATAGGAATAGGGACGTATTCGTAATTATACCGGGAATAAAAAGATAATTTTTGATAAGAAGCACATAGGTAATACGTAATGGTGAATTTTACAATTTCCTTTATTTTATTTTATTTTTTATTTTTTATTTTATTAATTACAGCCGCCGTCACTCACGAGCGTTGAAGACCTGTCAATCCCTAGCACCGCCGCACCAGCTTGCGTCTTCCTCCCCTCCGGCGACTATTCACTGCAGTGCGGTCCCACTCTTCTCAGTTCAGCAGATAGGCATAGTGCGCCGACTCCGCAGCCCCCTCCGGCTTTGCTTTCGCCAGCCTCTTCGGCCTCCGCCGGCCGTCACCAGCACGTAATCGCAAACCTTCAAACGGAGCAGACCGAACCGTCAATCCGCGGTTCTTATTTCTGAACAAGCTCCATTCGACATTGAGCTGAACTTCCATTGTCATAGTCAACTCGTCTCAGAACTCTGGAAGAGCGAGCAATGGTGGAATCATATTTCCAGGCCGTCACGTTGGTCGCTGCCCCAAACTACCCAAATGCTATCGCTTGGTCTGATGAGAATTTAATCGCCGTTGCCTCAGGCCCCCTTGTCACTATATTGGTTAGTCAACTAGTTTTAGATTTACTTCTCTTCGTATAAATCATACCGTTTTTTACATTTGGTCCCTTTGTTCATATCAGAATCCGGCATCGCCATTCGGAGCACGAGGCACTATTACTATCCCTGCAAGTGATCCACTTCCAATAGGGGTGATAGAGAGAAAAGGTACCCTATGGATTTAGCAGTTTCACATTTCTTTTGATACGAACCAATTCAAGAGATTTTTTGTTACATTCATTGATTTTTAAGGTTGAGATGTTTAATTTCTCTATGTTCATTAGCTTTATTGTAATGACATATTCTTTCCTTTTTGAAAAATAGGAAAAAACATGCATTCAATATAAATTTTCTGGCTGTTATTGCAACCTTGTTCTTGTATAAATTTCATGTTGGTAAATGCAGATTTATTTGCTGGTTGCTTGTTGCCAACTTGCTTATCTCGGGATGACCGACCTCGTGCTCAGTCCATAGCATGGTCTCCTCTTGGAATGGCTCCTAATGCAGGGTACAGTCTTTTCGTTCTTAATTTTATTTATATTTTTCATATGCTTGTTTTGCTTATGAGTTGGTTTGATTGTTTATGTGCGAAAAATATGGAAAAAGCTTTTAAATTTTGATTGGTGGTACACTGTGACAGGTGCTTGTTGGCTGTTTGCACGTCAGAAGGATGTGTGAAGCTTTACCGTCCACCGTTCTGTGACTTTACTGCTGAATGGATTGAGGTATTTCCTCTAATGAGAAGACTCTTTGTTGGTTTCAATGGAGATAGAATGATATTCAATATTTTTTTTTATTAGATATTGAGAGAGGTTGATCTAAATCATAGCTCGTTTTTTATACGATAAAAAGAAATTCTAAAATAAAAAAAACGTCAAACTACAAGCTTAGTTTTTGAACTTTTAAGGGTTGTGTCTAATAGGTCCCTAGACTACAAGAAATATCTAATGTTGAGGATTGTTAGGAAATGAGTCTTGCGTTGGCTAATTGAGGGGATCTTCATGAGTTTATAAGTAAAGAATACTATCTCCATTGGTATGAGACCTTTTGGGAAAATCAAAAGCAAAACCATGAGAGCTTATGCTCAAAGTGAACAATATCATACCATTGTAGAGGGTCGTGATTCCTAACATGGTACTAGAGACATGCCCTTAAGTGTGAGCCTCGAAGGTATAATCAAAAGTGACTCAAATCAAACAAAGGGTGTACTTTGTTCGAGGGCTCCTTAGAAAGAGTCAAACCTTGATTAAGGGGAGGCTGTTCGAGGACTCCATAGGCCTCAGGGGAGGCTCTATGGTGTACTTTGTTCAAGGGCTTCTTAGAAGGAGGCGAGTCTCAATTAAGGGGAGGCTATTCGAGTGCTCCATAGACCTCAGAGGAGGCTCTATGGTGTACTTTGTTCGAGGGGAGGATTGTTGGGAAATGAGTCCTACATTAGCTAATTAAGGGTAAGATCATGGGTTTATAAGTAAGGAATACTATTTCCATTAGTATGAGGCCTTTTGGGGAAACCAAAAGCAAAGCCATGAGAGCATATGCTTAAAGTGGACAATATCATATCATTGTGGAGGTTCGTGATTCCTAATATCTAATTGGTCTATAAACTTTCAAAGCATGCAACGAGTTTTTGATATTTTAATTTTTGTCCAATAGGTTTGGGTCCTTTTTGACATTTTCTAATTGGTCTATAAATATTTTTGAAATAGAATTGCACTACTGACATTTTGATGTTATTTATTTATTTAATAACTTTCTCTCTTATGATTTCTATAGATTATGGACATATCAAATAAGCTTTATGATTATTTTGAAAGTCTTAAATTTGGGGAGCTAGATGTTCCTTCATCAAAGTGTTCTGATGTAAGTTCCTCAATTCATTTATTCACCGGGTTTGCATTAACAACTTTAAAGCCTATTGACAATTTGTCTGCGTTGTTAAAATTAGAATACAGTGAAGGAAGGTGGCAGTGCTGTTGATGTCCAAGAGCATTTCACAAAGGAGGACCGTAAGCGAAGAAAGAAAGTTGCGCCCAATTTAAAGTAATTTGCTTATTATATTGTTATGTATATCACTATTATCAGCACAGTATATTATTATTATTGTTATATAAGAAACCATAACATCATATCGAATAGTAGCACATGAGTCGGTTGACTTCGTGTTATAGGAGGAAATTCTTGTAGTAACAAGGGCTATGGTAGTTTTTATAGACCAACCTTCATATCCATGAGATGGTAAATTTTCAATTTCATCTCTAGGCCGCCTGATTTTGTGGATCTAGGTTCCCACATGGTATAGTTTATTTATAGACTAGGCTGTAATAGCCCAAGCTCACCGCTAGAAGATTTTGTCCTCTTTGAGCTTTCCCTTTCGAGCTTCCTTTCAAGGCTTTTAAAACGCGTCTGCTAGGGAGAGGTTTCCACACCCTTATCAAGAATGATTCGTTCTCCTCCCCAACCAATGTGGGATCTCACAACCCACCCCCTTTGGGGCCCAGCGTCCTTGTTGACACTCGTTTCTTTCTCCAATTGATATGAGATCTCGCAATCCATCCCATTTAGGGGCCAAGTGGATGTTGACACTCGTTCATCTCTCCAATCGAAGTGGGATCTCAGATAGACTGTCCTTGAGAACCTTTATCTTTTCCGAGATATATTACTGGTGAATGCAAAGGAGAGCATAGCTCAACTGTTGTGTGGTCACAATAAGGAGGAAAGTGAAGATTTTGTGGATGAAACGGTGAAAGAACTCCTATGTAATATTTGGATTGAAAGGAATTCTAGATTCTTTAGTGGAAACTGGAATGCAAAAGGATTTGGATGAAGTGGTTGACTTGGCCAAATGTTATACTTCATCATGGCGTTCCCTGTCTATTTCTTTTGTAGCTACTGTACATTTGGGATTAATTTGGTTAGTTGTGCATTTTTGTAAGAGCCTACATAGATTGTGGGTTGTTATCCTTCTTTTGTCCTTTCTCTGAAATAATTCATACCTGATGTTCTTTATTTTGTAACCAGATTTTGGTTTTGTTTAATTCAGTTTGAAATCCTGTTCTTTTCATTATCAATAATCCTTTTAGGAATTTGATGTTCAATTCTGGCCAGCAACGGAAGCAGTTTAAATCAATCATTGGAGAAATCAAAAGAGAAGCGTCCAAGGAGAAGAACTGAAGATAGCTCCGTGCCTTCATTAATTAATGCCCAACAATATGCTTCTCGCAGTGCAATGTTGTTGTCTGTTGTCGTTGCCTGGTCCCCAGTAATGAAGCCGTCTCATAAGGTTCATTCGCACTGGAATTCATCTGTCAGTGTTCTTGCAGTAGGAGGGAAGTCTGGTAACGTTTCATTTTGGAAAGTTAACGTACCAGAATGCTACTCCCTTGCTGAGTGCACGGTCCCAACAAGAGCTCTGCTTGTTGGGCTTCTTCAGGCACATAATTCATGGGTCAACTGTATCAGTTGGATGATGTTTGATTCTGATTCATCAAATTCAAAGGTTTTGTTGGCAACTGGGAGCACAGATGGGAGGTGTGTGTCTCGGATATGCATAATGTTCAAATTTTCTGACTTGCACCCTTTCTAGAGCATATTTGTGTATGAACTCGTGTCTCTTTTATAGAGTATTTTTATGAGATCCTACATCGGTTGGAGAGTGGAACGAAGCATCCCTTATAAGGGTGTGGAAACCTCTTCCTAGCAGACGCATTTTAAGAACCTTGAGGAGAAACCTAGGAGGGAGAGCCTAACGAGGACAATATCTGCTCGTGGTGGGCTTGGACTATTACAAATGGTATCAGAGCCAGACACCGGGCAATGTGCCAGCGAGCGAGGACGTTGGGTCCCAAGGGGGGTGGATTGTAAGATCCCA